TAATATGTTTCTGCAACTGACTGTGAAGATGACGTATCTATAAAAACAACTTGTGAATCTACGTTAGATGCATTCATTCCTGCACATCCCCAATTATCCCAGCCTTATTAGATCACTAATCCACAAAGCAAGACGTACTTTCCTCACATCCACTCCACCAATACCACCTACACTTCATTTTCATTCCCCATGTCTAATGAAACCAAATGCCATGACAGTATTAAGTAAGGTGCAAACTGCTGCTGAGTCTTTAAAGCAGTCTCACAGTTAGCACGTTTCTTTCACCATCCGCTGGACTGCACTATCTGAGCTGCAGTAACAGACAGGATACCAATGCACACAAGACCACGTACAATAGGACAGTGTGAAAGCATTTCCAGCTGTGTTGTTTTTAATTAAAGATTAATAACCAACAAGACATAACTATCAGGACATTCCATAGAAGAGGCAGCTGAATGAATTAAAATTAATTGATCGTTTAAAAATTTACTTCAGAAAAATGAGTGTTAAAAAGGATCATAAAGCATTGAACTCTGAAGTTAGATAGCCAAATTTTCCAGAAACACCTAAACTCTAACGAGCCCTATTGGAATTGACTCCTAATGAAGAACAGGATACAAAGTGCTTGCCTTCTTGGTGTATTTTGTAAGATGAAGGTCACGTCTCTCAAGAACTACGAAGTAAATTAAGAAATAAACAGTCTGAAAACATTATTCTTTGTCATTCAAAGCTCCTGTCATCTGTTAAGTTTAAATCAAACACTACAATAAAAGTTGAATACCCTCAGGTCTCAGAGCTCCTGATGAGAATGGGCACGGCGATACACGAATGGGACCAACTGCAGCCACAGGCAGAATGAAGCATGTGGCGACTTGTCTGTGCGGTGCCTCACTGCCATCAATGAAATCATCCTTTTTTGTTTTTCAGGTTGTAAATACAAAGAAGTAGCATTCTCATTTTTTCTTCTACTGCGCCGTGCACCAGCCTGCAATAGCGGTGTAATCGGCTGCACATGCAAGATGCATCTGGACACAGAGGCAGACAAAGGGCTGCTGCTGTAGGTCATGCACATGTAGGCACGAGGGCACAGAACCACTTTTGGACGTGATGGCTTCTTAGAATCGAAAGCAGCAACAGCAGCGTTGGAGCTGGGGATTGCTCAGCAGCTCCGTAACCACTGCTCAGACAGAGCACAGCGCAGCTAAAAGCCTTGTGACAGCACAAGCACCATATGGTAAGAGACTGACATGAAAGCTCGGGCACTGCCGGGCCACCGTTCTCCCATCATCTCTCTCTCTCTCGTGGCTGTCAGCATCGCTACCACACACTGAAGAAGGGGAGGCAGGGAACTGACTGGCGGAGCAGATGGCCCCGCTCCGCTGCGGGACGGCAGGCCGACACCACAGTCAGAGCTGCACACACCAGACCCTCACTGGGACACACGTCCAACAGAAGCACCTCGGCCCTGGGAGCCGTGCACCGACTGTTCTCTAAACCCAACTGTGCTCCTACTCAATTTACACCATTTCCAGGCTCTGTGCACTCAACAATGCACACCTTCAGTCCCCGCATCTCCACAACCTACTCTGCACCACATCCTATCTCTGTGTAATTTGTCATGAGCGAAAAAACATTACTGCCTTACTGCAATGTATTCTGGCATGGAATATCTTAATCTGTATTAGCTCTACCTGTATTTCCATGTAATGAAAAACTTACACCTCCAAGACTTACGTAGCCATTAATCCAACCCCTTTCCCTACCTCCAGCACTTGCTTCTCCTTCTCCCCCCCTCTAAATGAAGGTGTATCAAAGGTCTTTTAGCAAAAAGCTAAGAAAAGCAGGTACTGTGAGCTGCCGTGTCTGTAACACAGAAAAGACATACACCACAGTCATCGTCCTTGATAAGATTTTCCATACCCTGCAATGCATCCTTTCTTTACTGGGAGCCGTTCCAAAATCTGAATCATCAAGAACAGTCTTTTCTTTCACTAAACACCCTGAAAAATAAAAACAAGCCTCTTTCCTTGTCCTCTGAAAATGCAATCTTTTACCTAACAAATTAGCCTAAAACTACTGGCAGCACTGAATGAGTGCCAAGTGCCAATACTCCCTGGTTTTGTTGTTATTTTTTGTGATGTCCTGAGGCATGTTTATGTAAAGGAACCCTTCCCAGAGATGCTACGAACATGCCTGCCGTGACACAGCCCCAGATGGCTCCTACACGTTGCAAAGTCACCTGTATCTCTAGAAGCAATCACACTGGTGTTCTCTGAAGATTAAAGGCACGTACCAAATGTTCTTGCTCATTTGGCACTGTACAGAGGGTCTTTGATTCGAAGAATCTGATCACAATGGCAGACGCATGCAAAAGGAGTTTCTACAAAATACTGAAAGATATTTTTAAGGAACTTTATTTTTGCACGTCACATATAAAAAGCTGTTGCAGAGCAGCCTGTTGTGGAGAAGGTTTCTGTTTGGAGGGAAAAAGTGCTCACAATGAGTGCCTACACACAAAAACGTTAAAATTTAAAACCAATGGTTTTGTTCAGCAGAGGCAGGAGTCTACTGAAGAAGCTATTGTAAAATTGATTGAAGTCACAAAGGATCCAATTCAGACAAGAAGTTCAAAATCAGGACACTTCTGGCTGCTTAGGCCAACATCAGACATCCAGTCTCATAAATTTTTTAGTTAATCCCCTCTGAAGCAACCCATTCACCATTTGAAGATGCATCATGTGTCCAATATGGATTCCCCTCAGCTAAACGGCAAACAGTCTCCTCTGCTGGTGCTGCTAGAAACATAATCTGGTTTTGTGTTTCACGTACAGAAAACACTTCCATGCAGAAAAGTTAAACATCAGCAGAGATGGAAATACACCACAGCTAGCAACCGCAGGCTACTGCTACATACACAGCTGCGGAGAAATCATCTTTAAATTGTCCCACACATGACCTCTGTGCTGTCTTTTGTGCAGTTAAGCTACCACATTAACTACCGCTAGTTCAGATTTAAAGAAATTAGACATGACAGCCTTTGAGAACACAAGCGCTGCGTTATCTTTACCTCATCTCCAACCCAGGAGTCCCAAGATTCCACGCGTGAATAAATTCTGCTTACCCATTTCCAGTAATGGCAGTGTTATTTGAAAATAAAGAGATGATGGAGGGGAAGAAGGGCAGGCCTTCGCTAGATCACATCACACTTCAGTAACAACTGCACAAATCGCCCGCAACATTTTGAAAAATCCTCAGTATTTTTCAGTCTCCAAGGAGCTCCCAGCATCTTTCATTTCTTACAATATTTATAAAGCTGTGATGGCTTTACTTTGCAGAATCACTTTTTAATAGTCTTGAATAATGCTACTCAAAACTTTGTGACGCCATTCCTCTCATACAAAACTGAGAGCTTTTATTCTTCTACTTCAAGATTTAGAAACTAACGTGAGCGTACATGTGTTAATTATGCATGTTCAAAGTATTATCTGTTTACAGGGCTGGAAAATATACAGCACGAATGCTACCACACACAAATATCTCAGATGTGCCAATCTAATTCAATGACAACAGTGAAAACTGTTTCAATCTTTACACCCTTCACTTGCATCTTCAAACAGCATCCTTTGACTTCCCTAAATTACCACCTGGTAGAACTTTGAAAGACAAAAACAAGGGGTGAGGGGAAAACAAAAAAACAAACAAACAGTAAAACCCAACAAACAATAAATCTCCAACACAAACAGGCTTCCTCCTACTTTCTTCAGCTGACTTGAGAACCTCAATTAAGGAACTTATGTGCACCCCACCTTGCTTTTAGAAGATGGAAAACAGCTTGTGAAAGTATAGAAAGCTAGGGATCAATCCAGAAGAATATGTAAGCATATTATAGTCCCATTGACTTCAATTGCTTAAGTGATTTGTTGGAGCACAGCCAGTACAACAGTGCCTTGCAAGAGCAAGGCCATTAAGAACAGTCAGCAGTTTCCTTCTGTGGGCTGTGGGGGTCTGTTTGCAGGCTAAGTTTTTAAAAACAACCTCCTTCTGTCTTTGAGTGCCCTCTATGGCTTCAGGACAGCACTCAAGGAAGGCTCATGAAAAAGATTTTAAGAGACTGTGATTAAAGAAAAGGAAAAAAAAAGACATCTGCTCCACCCACAAGACATTTGTTAAATTACAGCATATATGAACAATTCTACAGATACCAATGCAGTATCAGTGATCCACTGCTGCAAGAACAAACACTCGATTGTGCTCCTGCACAGTACGTAAGCAGTGCTGCTGCTAGACCGGTTCAGAATGAATTTTCCCTTTATCAGGAAAAGTAAGGTAATCTGCTCTCCTTTGAAACTCCAGCCTCGCAGAAGAGAGGAGACTAAAGATAAGAAAGTGTGTTTAAGAGAAGTGTGCCAAGTCAAGGGAAATGATAGAGGGACTGCACTTACATACACTTAATGCAAACAACTGCAAAATCATGACTGTACATTAAGCCTAAGAAGAGTGATAACAGCACACAGTCTGGGTGTTCGCCCTCTGAATGACGTACTCATATTTTCCTTTAGGAAGCAAAGACTTTGGCACTTGAAAACAAATTAAAAAAACCCCACACTGCAACAAAAACACAGAAACTTTTTTTTTGCCTCCCCCATCCCTTTCTGAAGCTGACGCACGCTAAGGATCCATGCACCATGTAGATCATACAAGATGCTTTGTCAAAAGGTCCAGTTATTAATGCATCCACGCTGTGAACTGATGTGTTATATTATCACAGCTCTCAATAAAGTGAATATGGATTTACACATTAGACAATAACAGCTCCAAAAGGAGCTGTTAAAATACCACTGAATAAAAGAACACTTAATGTAGACATTCAATGGACTGCAAAAATGGATACCTAACAAATACTGTAAATGCATGTAACTGTAATTACTGATTCTAAACCGTACCAAATTTTCGTCCACTATTATGAGAAGTAAAAGAGATAAATCATTGAGTGTCCTTACCAGAACTACTCTCTGAAACCCCACAAAATTGTGATGTGGCAGCAGTACAGCCCCTGGTATTACACCACCTGTAACACAAACCATATTGTGACAGTTTCTATCAATATTTATTTTAACAGATGATAAAAGGATAAAAGCTATTTTTCCACCAGTCTTTTTAGAGAAAGCATTAAAATAACATTTAGTTTCCTGCGGATCATAATATATTTTTATGCAACAAAAACAAATAAAAATTAAAGACCATCTTTTTGGTTACTTACATGGAACATGCTTTAAAAAATTCAAATTTTACTCTCTTCTCACCCTTAGTTGATGACAAACCCCCAGCACAGAACAGCGCATTCACTTCAATGGAATTTCTCTTCTTTCTGTCTGCTCATACAGACAAATGGGAACTTTGAGGGGATCCAGCTTACAAATAGCACAGCACTGATGTGGCAGCTTTATTCAGTCTTACCCAAAAATACAACTAAAACATTTCAGCAGTAAGACGACAAATAGGAAACACAAGGCCTCTACCGACCCATCCAGTTATGCTTCCCATAACTGACTACTGCAGAACGAAATGTGACATCAGCCAATTAAGAAGAGCAGTTCTGTGGAAGAATCCTTAGGATACCCTCACAGAGTTAATTTCCACAAGTGACTTCAAAGCTGAACCGCTCCCTAGGACTTAAGCACATTATATGCCTGTGATCAGAACAATTACTGATCACACCTTTATGTAACACTGAGGTTCCTACCACGGATATTCATTACCGATGAAATCACTAGGGAGAAATCTAACATAAACTAAGGGATTAAGGAGAAAGGCTTGGGGGTAAAAGAACAGGAACACTGCCTGGGCACAACAGAAGAACTACCTATCAAAAAAGAAAAAAAAAAATGCTGTCTGAAGCGAAATATAGTTCATGGAACAAAAAACCTCTCCCAGATGGACGAAGATGAGGAAAACAGCAATTTTTTTTTCTAAATACTAAGCTCCTGCCATAAAGGCTGACAAATGCATTACAGCCAACATTCAAACTTTCCAAATACCTCCTTAAAACCAGGGACAAACCCAAAAAAGGCAACTCGTGCCTTCAACAGTGGGCAGCACTACAAATTCACATCACCTTCAGACTCTATGAACCCCTCCAGTACTCTGTTACCAAGTTACCCAGATGGGTGAGAAGTCAATGGTGGCAGAGATCAGCAGCTTCCTACTAAAGCACATCAGTTCATTCATTACTGCCCCTGCCAAACCTTGGAAAACCCCTCCCATCCACCAGCCTGGATTGGACGAGTGTCCCACTCCCTCTCTGTAGCAACACGCACAGACACAGCTGAAGCCGAACGGGAAGTCCTGAGCTGTATTACTGCAGTTACAATTCCCTGCTCAGATATTACGTGCTACTCTGATCACTTCCTGCAAACTTAAGTGTACGTACCAAGTGCACTGATAACACTGAACTTAAAACAACAACAACAACAAAAACATAAACAAAGTTTGAAACACTTAGAGCATTTTAACTGCAACATGAGTGATGGTGCAAAAGATCATTTCCCCGTTCAATGCAGGGGACTTGGACTAGGTGACCTTTAAGGGTCCCTTCCAATTGAAATGATCACATTGAGCACATAGGGCTGCTGCCATTCTGCCTGAGCTGGCAGAAGGGAATGGTACGTTTCAATATTTACACGCTTTGAACTTCTTGTGTTCTGCATTAAGCGTTTATCATTCATTCAGAGCACTCGCTGTTTGAAGTAACTAATTGATATTACCCCCAAAATGATGCCAAACAGGAGAAAGAACAAGGAGGCCCTGAAGGAAAGCAGCGCACCACCACATCCTGAACAGAAGCCAGTTCAAGAGGAATTCCTTTCCTCTCTTCAATTCCCCACAGAGCACACATAAAAGCACAACACACACCGAACACCAGAAGCTCGCTGCTCTATTAGCCTCCCCTACAACAACAACAGGAAATCTGTTTACAGTTAACTAATTTGCCATGGGATGGACAGGGTTGAGAGGGCACGCGGTGAGAATGAAGCACAGGGCCCAGCCCACGCGGCCCTTTGGGTGATGAAGCACCAGCGCTGCCTTCAGAGAGACTGAGCATCTCGCTGCTGCCTTCATCTGCATCATATGGGAACCCTCAAGTCACAGACGCCCTGGAAGCAGCTGTAGCAGGCTTCAAATTAACAACTACAGTAAAATTTATGGCGTGTCCTGCAAAGCCTTGCATATGACACAGAGCAGATGCAGGGCACTGGCACGGGCTGCCCAGGGAGTGGTGGTCACCGAACCTGGAGGCGTTCAGCAACGGCAGAGATGTGGCACTGAGGGATGTGGACAGTAGCTGGATGGTCAGACTGCCTGATCCCTGAGGTCTTTCCCAACCTTAATGCTTCTGTGACTTCACTTTTAATTGCGTTTCTTCCAAGTGATGTGCTGAAATGGAGCACGTCACAGGGTGGAACTTCCCCTACTAGGTTTAACCTTCAGAGCTTCATTCTGCAGTAGTGCTGGGGCTGGTTTGTAGTTGCACATGTTGTCTTTTATTTCTCTCTCCTAGGAGATGCCTAGCTTGAAATATCTCAGGGAAGCTGGAGGAAACACATCATAAATAAACTAAACCACAAATCTACAATCTTGTTTAAAACAACAACAACAAAAACGCTTGGGAGGAAGGGAACAGCTAATAAAGTGGCAAGGAAAAAATAATCAGCCTCTGGGAAAGGACATGGACAGAAAATAATGCAAAATTGTGGATGCTCTGAAAACGCAGCACTTCACGTGACTCTAAATGCCAACGTTAACGATGGGACCTGTTACAGAAACGCTCACCGTGCAAGAATTTGTGCCTTGTGAGCTAAAGATCTTTCCCTCTGCAGTTTAAAACACCTGTGTATTTTTAAACCATATTTACTTCTTGTACATATAAGTAGTATATATAAGAAGTACTTCTTATATGTATAGTTTCCACATTTCACAACTAATTACAGAGGGTGTATTTTATCAAACTACTGACACCTCCAGTGATGCCCCGTGTAAATACACAATGCCCCGCTTTGGCAAAGGACAGCTACAGATGTGACAAATGATAAACCAACGTTGATAGTGCAGTACATGGAAGCAGCAGGAGGTGCCCCAAGGGCTGCCATCTGGGTCACCCCACTGCTAAGGCTGCTCCCAGCTCAGCCATGCTCCAGGAGCACATCGCTGCTCTGTGGCACTGGCACCTATTCACTCACATCACTGTTTGGGGTTTTTTTCCCCCACCACATTTTAGTTTTGCTAACCGAAAGAATTTCAGGGAAAAAAGTGTGTCTTGCATTTCTCTAAATTAAAGGAACACAGCTGCCCACTGAGCATCCCTTATAATCATACTTTTGTGTGCAACCCTCCCAAGCTTCTGGGCAGCCATTTCCATTACGGTCCATGAATTATAACCAAAATCCTTACTAACATTTGGATTTGGGTTTTCTTTAGTCGATGCAATTTTGTTTTTAATAATCAAAAACAAAATGGATTTTTAACAAACAAAGAACACTTCTGAAAAAAATTGCCTGGGGTTTCGCTTGTTTTGATATTAAACCATGTACACTTGGAAAGAAAAAAAAAGAAGTAAATCATGTGCTCATAAAAAGCACTGATGTGTAAATTGAACGTGGCCCATGAGGGAGAGGGAAATTATCCACTTTAAAGAAGTATTGTTTACTGCTTTCTTCCCCACTGGAGCGCCTGCTAATAGTATTTGCTGTTGTTTTCTTACTGTGTGATGAGTATGGCTATAACCAAGAATGCTGCCAAGGCGATGAAATGCGTGTGTACAGAAAAGGAAAACAGTATATGCTGACATTACATAAAAAACTCTATCTTGAACTTAGAGCAATGGATGTATTTTGGATATTCAGAATGCCCAGTGCACAAATGAGCCCTTATTTTCACTCCATCCTATGAGAGCAGCGTAACTCCAGGGCTGATTTCCCTCTGTTTGCATAAAAACAAATGTTATCATGGTGAGATCTGATCTGCACGCTGCCACTTATTTCCTCTAATCCCTCTGTTTCAGAGACCATCCAACCAACAAATGTCACCAGCAGAAAAACTGAAATTCAAGTAATGCATTAACAAAATAAGGGGTGGTTCATCTGCAACAACGAGACTGTTTCATTTTGCCCCTACAAGCAGCATTGTAAATCCCTGTGGCCACAAAGGAGATTTAAAAACAAGAAAAGAAAAATAAAAACAAAAACATAACAGGAGAGGTGGTTTAAGAAAATCAAATTCCTGGGTTGAAAAACTCCCATCAGTCTCCTAGAACTGCTCCAGAAAGCATAAGCAAGTCTCCTTAAGTACGACTGCGCTCACTCCTAACTATTCTGCTGTAATTCCACAGCTTCCAAAGAGCACAAATCAGCAATGCCTGAAGGCAGGCCGGGTTGCTGCCTGCTCTGATTGATCCCCTGCATTCACACTGCAGCAGAGGCTGAGGAGCAGCCAGGGCTGAAGTTTCACCATGGTAAATTTCAAGTCTTTGGGTCAGTAATGATACTGAAGTAACAGGCAGGAAAATATTATCTTGTTAGCTTTTGGGGCTAGAAGCTTACATTTTCCATAAAGCTCCCCAGGATGGGGATGATCAGACATGGACTGAACTGACAATGACAAGTAAAGCTTCACAGTTTTACATCCTTAAGCGTAACAGTACTACAGAATGCTATTTGTTAGCAAAACAGTTACTCCAGGTTCTGACAACGAAATGATAAAGTTTAAGATCTTTATCTGTAGAATATTAACGCCATGCTCTGACCACCCCAAGGCAACATCCCAAGTGAACGCGTCACTCTTCTCCTCTTCAAACACTGTCAGTTCTGTAATCCATCAGTTCTGCACTTTAAGAAGTTGTATATTACCAGAGTAGATGACATTTTCAAAGCCCAGTGATGGTGCTCAAAACATTCTATATCTGAGCAGCTGCTGAGGGTACACATGGAGACAGTGCCCACATCTCAATGTGCACTGATGGGTTTTTGGTTGGTTTCTTGGCTGTAAAGGTCTGAAGACAGTTCTTCTAAACAT